ACTCGTACAAGTCTTCGCCCTCATCATGATCAGCATCGTCATCGGCCTGTTTCAGTTCATCGGTAGATGAATGAATATCAAACATTTTACCATTAAAATCTGTCTTCTGTGTTTCTAATCCACGCTGCATGAGGTCTTCGCCTCATGGCCCGCTTATTTTCATATGGAAACTTGTCAAATAAATTTTCGGTCAATCGATGGACGGTACTCATTGTAGCGTGCCCTACCCATTGTCATTATAACCATTTCCTGTTGCAGTGACATTACTAAATCTTGTTTGTACGTCCACCTATTTGTTTGCCTTCTTACTACATCCTTCATATTCCAATATATGCCCTTCCACACAGCGTGGCTCAGTTTGTGGTTTCTGAGCAGTTTTAATGCTGAGGTAGCACACGTTACTACTGGGAACATGCAGTAATCGTCGACTTTTCGTTTCAAGAACAGGGTAGTTTTCCAGAGAGGAACATTTTCAATCTTCCACATATTCATGCAGCTTTTACTCTTTCACTGATTTCGCATTCTAATCTCGCTTCAATAGATACACAGTCCAAGGTTAGCACAACTACCCACCAGCCTAGGCCTAAGTTCGTTGAACTCAACGGGTTCAAGCTAATGATTAGTTTCAATCAGTTATTCGACGTTTCCTCGTCATGGATGCTCTAAGAACGCAAGTTGACGTTCCTCCAGCACTCATGTTATCCGCTCTTTGCCACCAGTGCTGGTCAAATAATTTGACTATCGAGTCATCATAGTGCGTAGCTGGACTACAGAGGAGGCGCTAGTAATCCAAGACCCTCCAAATAAGTGAAGACATATCGCAGTACCTGGCTAACATATAAGTACTTAATCGCTCTATGACTTCAAACCTTTTATAGTGCTCAAACATTACTCTGGCTTGCTTACTGGAGTCCTATCACTCATTGCATGGAATGCACATTTGACATACTCTAATGCTCAAAACGTTTATTCTCAAAAAATCTAGCAGCAGGCACTCCTTTCAATAATTGAATAAATAATCTAGAAAAGCATCTATTCAAAAGTCCGCCTGACATTTTCTCTTTAGATGCCGGATTGAAACGGCGCACAGACACCGTTGATTTGCTTCTAGTCGCCTAGAGGGCTATTTAAGATGCCCACGGCTCCATCGTATTTCAACACCTGCAATGCATGGACGCAAATCCGCATCCCTAGGCAGAGCCGAACAAAAGCCCTCATCTGACACTTACGGATATGCCACTATCCGTAAGCCTGATTATACATAAAAATTAATCCGATCTCCTCCGTTAACTAGCATCCGCAATTTGTCGGCACCGCCGTTATACAATTATTTATGTACAAATAAACATAAGGATAGTGGCATATCCGTAAGTGTAACTCCGCAGTTGACGGCCTCAAGCCCGGTTTAGAAAGGACGACGGTTGAAGACCGGGTGAAGTCTTCGTCAAATTTCGACACCTGCAGTTGATAGTATTGACGTCATCGAAAATTAAATCGGCTCGGTCGTCGCTAAGGTTACCAAGGGCCGCGCGGCTGCTGGGGGCTGAGGCAGACTGCAAAAAGTCGGAAATCAGAACCTGTTCAACGCTCTCTGCCAGCCGGGGGCGTCGCAGCGCAACAACGGCTGACGAAGAGCGACGGAACAACGACAAAGATACCAGTCAGCAACAGAGTCGCTACCCGTTCTAAACGGAGGGGTACACACACGACGCCATTATAGTAAGTCAGAAAGGGGTCCACGAGAATGACACCACCAGCGGGAGCTTAAAGTCGGAAATTGGAACATATCTTCACTCAGAGTGAAAGAACAAGAGTTAGCTGAAACCAGAAAAGTAAACATTCGACATTGCTGGACTCTCGCAAATGAAGCGTCAAGGCTCGGGACTCCTGAACCTCTGCGGGTGGATGTTATTCTACTCAGATATCGATACCACGACGCTCGCACAGGGCGGTGTTCGTATTCTGGTAGAACCCTACCTCGCATATGCAGTCTTGATTGGATGCCTGTCTGCGGAAGGATGGTAATTTTTTGACTGAAGTTACAAGTTAAAGCGCTGACCTTGGTACAGGTCTATGCGCCCAATTTGGAAGGGGAATATGAAACCTTACTCGAGGAAGTGTAGTGTGCCATGTCCGAAGTGCCGAATACAAAGGCCTTCATTATCATGGGCGATTTTAATGCACATGTCCGAGTAGACGCT